TGACACTGACACTGACTCTGACTCTGACTCTGACTGTCACTGACACTGACTGACAGTGACTCTGACTGACTCTGACACTGACTCGGACTCTGAATGACTCTGACTGACTCTGACACTGACACTGACTGACACTGACACTGACTGACACTGACTCTGACTGACTCTGACTGACTCTGACTGACTTCTGACTCTGACTGACTCTGACACTGACTGACTCTGACACTGACTCTGACTCTGACTTACTCCGACTCTGACTGACTTCTGACTCTGACTGACTCTGACTCTGACACTGACACTGACTGACACTGACACTGACGGACTCTGACTCTGACTGACTCTGACTCTGACTGACTTCTGACTCTGACTGACTCTGACTCTGACTGACTCTGACCCTGACTGACACTGACTCTGACTGACTCTGACTGACTCTGACTGACTCTGACACTGACTCTGACTGACTCTGACTGACTCTGACACTGACTGACTCTGACTGACTCTGACTCTGACTGACTCTGACTGTCTCTGACACTGACTGACTCTGACTGACTCTGAAACTGACTGACTCTGACTGACTCTGACACTGACTGACTCTGACACTGACTCTGACTGACTCTGACACTGACTGACTCTCACACTGACTGACTCTCACACTGACTCTGACTCTGACACTGACTCTGACTCTGACTCTGACTCTGACACTGACACTGACTCTGACTCTGACTGTCACTGACACTGACTGACACTGACTGACACTGACTGACACTGACTGACTCTGACTGACACTGACTGACACTGACTGACACTGACTGACTCTGACTGACTCTGACTGACTCTGACACTGACTGACAGTGACTCTGACTCTGACTGACTCTGACTTACTCTGACTCTGACACTGACTCTGACTCTGACTCTGACACTGACACTGACACTGACACTGACTCTGACTCTGACTGTCACTGACACTGACTGACACTGACTGACTCTGAAACTGACTGACTCTGACTGACTCTGACACTGACTGACTCTGACACTGACTCTGACTGACTCTGACACTGACTGACTCTGACTGACTCTGACTGACTCTGACTCTGACTGACTCTGACTGTCTCTGACACTGACTGACTCTGACTGACTCTGACTGACTCTGAAACTGACTGACTCTGACTGACTCTGACACTGACTGACTCTGACACTGACTCTGACTGACTCTCACACTGACTGACTCTCACACTGACTCTGACTCTGACACTGACACTGACTCTGACTCTGACTCTGACTCTGACTCTGACTGACTCTGACTGTCTCTGACACTGACTGACTCTGACTGACTCTGAAACTGACTGACTCTGACTGACTCTGACACTGACTGACTCTGACACTGACTCTGACTGACTCTCACACTGACTGACTCTCACACTGACTCTGACTCTGACACTGACACTGACTCTGACTCTGACTCTGACTGACACTGACTGACACTGACTGACTCTGACTGACACTGACTGACACTGACTGACTCTGACTGACTCTGACTGACTCTGACACTGACTGACAGTGACTCTGACTCTGACTGACTCTGACTTACTCTGACTCTGACTCTGACACTGACTCTGACTCTGACTCTGACACTGACACTGACACTGACACTGACACTGACTCTGACTGTCACTGACACTGACTGACTCTGAAACTGACTGACTCTGACACTGACTCTGACTGACTCTGACACTGACTGACTCTCACACTGACTGACTCTCACACTGACACTGACTCTGACACTGACTCTGACTCTGACTCTGACTCTGACACTGACACTGACTCTGACTCTGACTCTGACTCTGACTGTCACTGACACTGACTGACACTGACTGACTCTGACTGACTCTGACTGACTCTGACTGACTCTGACACTGACTGACAGTGACACTGACACTGACACTGACACTGACACTGACACTGACTCTGACTCTGACTCTGACTGTCACTGACACTGACACTGACTGACACTGACTGACACTGACTGACACTGACTGACTCTGACTGACACTGACTGACACTGACTGACTCTGACTGACTCTGACTGACTCTGACACTGACTGACAGTGACTCTGACTGACTCTGACTTACTCTGACTCTGACACTGACTCTGACTCTGACACTGACACTGACACTGACTCTGACTCTGACTGTCACTGACACTGACTGACACTGACTGACTCTGAAACTGACTGACTCTGACACTGACTCTGACTGACTCTGACACTGACTGACTCTCACACTGACTGACTCTCACACTGACACTGACTCTGACTCTGACTCTGACACTGACTCTGACTCTGACTCTGACTCTGACACTGACTCTGACTCTGACTCTGACTCTGACTGTCACTGACACTGACTGACACTGACTGACTCTGACTGACTCTGACTGACTCTGACTGACTCTGACACTGACTGACAGTGACACTGACACTGACACTGACACTGACACTGACTCTGACTCTGACTCTGACTCTGTCACTGACACTGACACACTGACACACTGACTGACACTGACTGACACTGACTGACTCTGACTGACACTGACTGACACTGACTGACTCTGACTGACTCTGACACTGGGCGGCACGGTGGCTGAGTGGATAGCACTCTCGCCTCTCAGCAAGAAGGTCCTGGGTTCGAATCCCGGTCGGACCAGGGCCTTTCTGAGTGGAGTTTGCATGTTCTCCCCGTGTCTGCGTAGGTTTCCTCCGGGTACTCCGGTTTCCCCTACCACTAAAAACATGTCCAATAGTTCTGGCATGCGCCTCCTGTACTGGTGATTCCGCTCCCATCTCTGTGTGGAGTGAGAGACAAATGCCCAAAAATTAACAATTGTAAACCGCTTTGAGACTCAGATCTGCAGTGAAAAGGCGGTATATAAATAAAAACTTACTTACTTACTTACTTACACTGACTGACAGTGACTCTGACTGACTCTGACTTACTCTGACTCTGACACTGACTCTGACTCTGACTCTGACTCTGACACTGACACTGACACTGACACTGACACTGACTCTGACTCTGACTCTGACTCTGACTCTGACTCTGACTGTCACTGACACTGACTGACTCTGACTGACACTGACTGACACTGACTGACTCTGACTGACTCTGACTGACTCTGACTCTGACTGACTTCTGACTCCGACTGACTCTGACTGACCTCTGACTCTGACTGACTCTGACCCTGACACTGACTGACACTGACTCTGACTGACTCTGACACTGACTCTGACACTGACTGACTCTGACTGACTCTGACACTGACTGTCTCTGACTCTGACTGTCTCTGACACTGACTGACTCTGACTGACTTCTGACTCTGACTGACTCTGACACTGACACTGACTGACACTGACACTGACTGACACTGACTCTGACTCTGACTGACTCTGACTTACTCTGACTCTGACTGCCCTCTGACTCTGACTGACTCTGACCCTGACTGACACTGACTCTGACTGACCTCACTCTGACTGACTCTGACACTGACTCTGACACTGACTGACTCTGACTGACTCTGACACTGACTGACACTGACTGACACTGACTGACTCTGACTGACTCTGACACTGACTGACTCTGACTGACTCTGACACTGACTGACACTGACTGACTCTGACACTGACTCTGACTGACTCTGACACTGACTGACTCTGACACTGACTGACTCACACTGACTGACTCTCACACTGACTCTGACTCTGACTCTGACTCTGACTCTGACTCTGACACTGACTCTGACACTGACTCTGACACTGACAGACTCTGACTGACTCTGACTGACTCTGACTGACTCTGACTGACTCTGACTGACTCTGACACTGACTGACAGTGACTCTGACTCTGACACTGACTCGGACTCTGACTGACTCTGACTGACTCTGACACTGACACTGACTGACACTGACTCTGACTGACTCTGACTGACTCTGACTGACTCTGACTGACTCTGACTCTGACTGACTCTGACACTGACACTGACTGACACTGACACTGACTGACACTGACTCTGACTGACTCTGACTGACTCTGACTCTGACTGACTCTGACTCTGACTCTGACTGACTCTGACTTACTCTGACCCTGACTGACACTGACTCTGACTCTGACTCTGACTGACTCTGACTGACTCTGACACTGACTGACTCTGACTGACTCTGACTGACTCTGACTGACTCTGACTCTGACTGACTCTGACTGTCTCTGACACTGACTGACTCTGACTGACTCTGAAACTGACTGACTCTGACACTGACTGACTCTGACACTGACTCTGACTGACTCTGACACTGACTGACTCTCACACTGACTGACTCTCACACTGACACTGACTCTGACTCTGACTCTGACTCTGACTCTGACACTGACTCTGACACTGACTCTGACTCTGACTCTGACTGTCACTGACACTGACTGACACTGACTGACTCTGACTGACACTGACTGACACTGACTGACACTGACTGACTCTGACTGACTCTGACTGACTCTGACTCTGACTGACTTCTGACTCCGACTGACTCTGACTGACCTCTGACTCTGACTGACTCTGACCCTGACACTGACTGACACTGACTCTGACTGACTCTGACACTGACTCTGACTGACTCTGACTCTGACTGACTTCTGACTCCGACTGACTCTGACTGACCTCTGACTCTGACTGACTCTGACCCTGACACTGACTGACACTGACTCTGACTGACTCTGACACTGACTCTGACACTGACTGACTCTGACTGACTCTGACACTGACTGTCTCTGACTCTGACTGACTCTGACACTGACTGTCTCTGACACTGACTGACTCTGACTGACACTGACTCTGACTGTCTCTGACACTGACTGACTCTGACTGACACTGACTCTGACTGACTCTGACACTGACTGACTCTCACACTGACTGACTCTCACACTGACACTGACACTGACTCTGACTCTCTGTTGCGCAGCTGTCGTCGGAGCTGAGAGAGCAGCTCCAGAGTAAAGTCAAGGAGCATGAGTTGGCGATGCACACGCTGAGAAACCAGGTAATTCTGAACCAGCGACGTCAAAGTCAAACACGTCCGAGGCCAAAAAACACTAATCTGCCACAAGCCGAGAACCGGACCATGAGCTAGCCCCGGGTCCAAGTTACCTGACTCAAAAATACACTAAATTAAAAACAATAGCTTAATTTTGATGATTTTTGTACCTTGACCAGCCCTGAGTCATTTAGACCATTTTAGACCCTAATTTAGACCATAAAGCCCTCAGACTCCTGTACAGTACCCTGGTAGTGCCCCATGGTCCCTTTTGCCAGAACCAGAAACACATAGGATTATCAGTGGTCAGAGTAAAAGTATGGAATCAACTTGATATTAAAAATTCCGCAAACATCCACATGTTTAAGAAAAAATCTGAAATTGAATGAAATGATCAGAAAAATAATTAAATAATAAAAAAAACGAAGAATTTTAAAAACAAATAACATAAAATAAAAACAGTTTGAAGGAGTGCTGAAGTCAATCTTATTTTTAATTTAATTTTTACGTGTTCGAAGAAAGGGGCAGCATTATATTTGATTCTTGTTTCTGCTCCTTTTTATTTGTGTGACAAGACGACAATTATTTAATGTAATTGTTATTTGTGATGTATTGTCTTAGTCCACAATTTAAACACATTTTGGTATTTTTCTTCAACTGCGGTGTGTAATTTTGACCCAAGGGTAGCACAAGTGTTAAAATATATTAGAATGATGCATAAAATCAGTTGAACAAGACTCGGCTCAGTTTAGGAATAAGGAATAACAACAAAACAAGATATAAAAGGGAACTACAATCATCATTCGGCTCAAACTCTGCCTTGAGTTTAGTCTTTGTGTGTGATTGTCTGTCTGTCTGCTTGTCTGTGTGTCTGTCTGCGTGTCTGTGTGTGTCTGTATGCATGTCTTTGTCTGTCTGCATGTCTGTGTCTGTCTGCATGTCTGTGTCTGTCTGCATGTCTGTGTGTGTCTGTCTGCATGTCTGTGTCTGTCTATGCTTGTGTCTGTGTGTGTCTGTCTGCTTGTCTGTGTGTGTCTGTCTGCATGTCTGTGTGTGTCTGTCTGCATGTCTGTGTCTGTCTATGCTTATGTCTGCGTGTCTGTGTGTCTGTCTGCTTGTCTGTGTGTGTCTGTCTGCATGTCTATGCTTGTGTCTGCGTGTCTGTGTGTGTCTGTCTGCTTGTCTGTGTGTGTCTGTCTGCATGTCTGTGTCTGTCTATGCTTGTGTCTGCGTGTCTGTGTGTGTCTGTCTGCTTGTCTGTGTGTGTCTGTCTGCATGTCTGTGTCTGTCTTTGCTTGTGTCTGCGTGTCTGTGTGTGTCTGTCTGCATGTCTGTCTGTCTATGCTTGTGTCTGCGTGTCTGTCTGTCTGCGTGTGTCTGCGTTTCTGTGTGCGTGTCTTTGTCTGTCTGTGTGTCTGTCTGTCTGTGTGTCTGTCTATGCTTGTTTCTGGGTTTGTCTGTGTTTCTGTCTGTCTGTCTATGCTTGTGTCTGTGTGTTTGTCTACGTGTCTGTGTGTGTCTGTCTGCGTGTGCCTGCGTTTCTGTGTGTCTGTCTGTGCGTGTCTTTGTCTGTCTGTGTGTCTGTCTGTGCGTGTCTTTGTCTGTCTGTGTGTCTGTCTGTGCGTGTCTTTGTCTGTCTGTGTGTCTGTCTGTGCGTGTCTTTGTCTGTCTGTGTGTCTGTGTGTGTCTTTGTCTGTCTGTGTGTCTGTCTGTGTGTCTGTCTGTGCGTGTCTTTGTCTGTCTGTGTGTCTGTCTGTGTGTGTCTTTGTCTGTCTGTGTGTCTGTCTGTGCGTGTCTTTGTGTGTCTGTGTGTGTCGTTGTGTTGCCTGTCAGAATGTCTTGCCTGAGAGACTTGCTCTAGATCAGAGCCTGCTTCTGTTTGAGCAAGTTTTTCAGTCAATCCATATTTTGCTTCTGTCTCAAATCTTTGGTCTTTATCTTTCTAACTCTTCTTATTTCCTGTCTCACTTTGCGCCTCCTGCTTCTCCTCCTGCTCCTCCTCCTGCTCCTGCTCCTCCTCCTCCTCCTGCGTCTCCTCCTGTGTCCCTGACTCTGGCTCAGGCGGCCAATCAGAGCGCAGTAACTCAGGAGCAGGTGGATAACATGCTGCAGGAGAACGATGCCCTGAGAACCAACCTGGCAGCTCTAGAACAGGTAAAGAAAAGCAGAAAGAAGGACAAAACAGTATGTGAGAATCAAAGGGGAAATTTTATCGAGTTTGCAAATATAAAAGAAAAAAATGACCAAGACTGGCAGGTTATGAGTTAAAAAAGGTGATTTTGTGTTTAGTTTTCCGCAAGAACACAGATAGGAAAAACCGACACGGTGGCAGAGTGGTTAGCCTCTCAGCTAGAAGGTTCTGGGTTCAAATCCCAGTCGGAACAAGGCTTTTTTGAGTGTTTGAGGGCCAGTTTCTCCCTGTGTCTGCGTAGGTTTCCTCTGGGTGCTCCGGTTTCCCCTCCCACTAAAAACCTAAACAACATAAAAACAGGAGACAAATACCCATAATTGTAAAGTGCTTTGTTCTATATTACTAAATATTACTAACTTATTCCCTGCCACAAACGCTTCCTTCTGCCTTGTCTTGTCTGTCAGATGTCCGCTGTAGACGCACTCGCTTCTAAAATACACAAATAACTATAAATTCTGTTAAATGTCTTGTTTAGATTCAAACGGCAAAAACTCAGGAGATGAACTTGCTCCGAGAACAGCAGGAGGCGCTGGCGAGTGAGCTGCAGCAGAAACGAGTGGAGAGCGAGAGTTTACTGGCTCAGAAGGACGACCTGCAGTCACAGTTACAGGTACTGTCTAATGGTACTGCAGCCTCTCCCACTCTCCCTGACTCAGGTTGCCAGATATGCAGACAAATCCAGCTGAGACCATAACAGCTGAATAGACAAGACTTAGAGGCTGGAAAAGTAATTTAGAAATTCTAATATCTCTGAACTACTGTTATCAGTTAAAGAAGTATTGGAAAAGAGCAGTTTATTATTATGACTGATTAGGGCCCTTTAATGATGACAGATCAGGGCCCTTTAATGATGACAGATTAGGGCCCTTTTAATGATGACAGATTAGGGCCCTTTTAATGATGACAGATTAGGGCCCTTTAATGATGACAGATTAGGGCCCTTTAACGACGACAGATTAGGGCCCTTTAATGACGACAGATTAGGGCCCTTTAATGACGACAGATTAGGGCCCTTTAACTCATTGACTGCCAGCCCATTTCAAAACAGGTACTCCCATATTGCCAGCCGTTTCTGGTGGTTTTTACTGATTTTTCAAGACCCACAGAATATTGTGTACTTTGACTATCTGAAATCTAAAACTAGATTCTGAAAGAATGGGCTGTCTACTCTCACCAGCAAAAAGAATTTTGTTTCTATCTTGTTTAGTTCTTCTGTAATCCCCAGTTGAGTAGAGGGAAGTTTTATTGAAATCACCAGAAAGCTGAGAAAAAAGGGCCACAAACAGTGCATCTAGCTGTGTTCAAACCATTCATAGCGCAATGCTGCCATCTGCTGGCTCCATAAAGTATTGCCTCAAGCCAATCTCCACATATTAGATTCAATGGACAGCTGGGAACGTAAAAATAGCGGGAAACGCAATTGACGTGTTAACACGTCATTGGCAGACAACGTTACTATTTAGTTTGACGTGTTAACACGTCAATGGCAGTCAATGAGTTAATGACGACAGATTAGGGCCCTTTAATGACGACAGATTAGGGCCCTTTAATGACGACACATTAGGACCCTTTAATGACGACAGAATAGGGCCCTTTAATGACGACACATTAGGGCCCTTTAATTCTTTAATACAGAGTTTTTGTTTTTTTGTGCGTCTTTAGGAGTCTAGTTTTGCGAATAGGAAACTTCTGGAGCAGCTGACAGATGAGGGACAAGAGAAAGACCAACTGTTACAAGAGCTCGACGAGTCCAAAAAGGTGAGAACGGAAACTGAGGAACTCCAAAACCAGATCTAAACTAAGACCACACAGAACAAAGATGATCTAGAACATTAGCAAGGGAATTTATAAGTTACTTTTTTTACATATTTTATTCCCGTACATAGAACTGAATGTCCTTAAAATCTCAAAGTCAAACTGTCACTACCTTTAGTACCTAGACTCGTTACTTCTTACATAAAGGTGAATAGGAGGATTTTCTGCTTCCTGGTGGATCAAGACTATTGGTCCTCCCAACTGTCAATCATTCTGGTGATACGTGCTCGTCCAATCAGACCACAGAGTTTGGTTCAAAAAGTGGAGAGGGCGGTTCTTTCCTAAAAGTTGAGAAAATCCTCCCATTTAGCTTTTTAAGAACAAACCCCCCCCCTTCCTGCTGGGAGCCTGAATAATATGTAGCAGAGAAAAGAGAGAATTATAATGAGAAAAAAGACAAATGAGAGAATAAACAAAAAAGAAAATGGGTAAAACAATGTGATGGGAAAATAAAACGGCAAATAAGAAAGTGTGTATCCGAGTATAAAGAAGTTTTGTATCATAAGAACACGACCATGTACTGTAGAAACTGCTTCTTTAATTATGAATGACTTATTTATTTAAATATTCAGACGGCAGAGAAGAGGAAATCGATGCTGGATGACATGGCCATTCAGCTGAGCCAGGAGAAGTCTGACCACAAGGAGGCGCTGTCGGACCTCAAACTACAGCATGAGAAGGAGGTGGGAAAACATGAATGAAGCTTTGACAATTTGCAGTCATTCAAATTAAATTAAAGTCTTAATAGTTGAGCTGATGCTGTATTTGGATTCTCTCATGTTTCCCTGAACCTGACGTTAAATACTCAGACTCAAACTTTTATACAAACACAATTTACAGAGACGTCTGTATCGTGTTTGTGTCATGTATTTGTCTCTTGCCATTGTTGGTACTGTTTATTCATTACCTTGTTACTATGGTCAATCTAATGCGTTACTATGGTAACGCTGATGTTACTATGGTAACTATTGTGTTATGGTAACTCTGATGCGTTACTATGGTAAATCTAATGCGTTACTATGGTAAATCTAATGCGTTACTATGGTAACTGATGTTACTATGGTAACTGATGTTACTATGGTAACTCTGATGTTACTATGGTAACTCTGATTCGTTACTATGGTAAATCTAATGCGTTACTATGGTAACTTTGTTACTATGGTAACTACAGTGTTATGGTAAATCTAATGCGTTACTATGTTAAATCTGATGTTACTATAGTAACTCTGATGCATTACTATGGTAACTCTGATGCGTTACTATGGTTCACTCTGATGCGTTACTATGGTAACTATGATGCGTTACTATGGTTCACTCTGATGCGTGGCTTTGGTCACACTGATGCGTTACTATGGTAACTACACAATGTGAATACTCAACTGTTACTTTCTGTGTTGATAAAGAGCAGAACTTAATAAAATGAGTGTAAAGTTGTTGATGTGTGTTACAGAGACGCTGAGTTTGTTTAATATGTTTCTTAGGTTTTCTTCTTCCTACTCTCTTTCAGGCAACTATTATGTTTATTTATTTTATTTTTTTCCGTTTTATTCATGTTAGCAAAACTTTACTTTGGTTGGAAACTATGATGGACAACAGGTGATGTGTGCCCAACGTCAAAAAAGAATAAACAAACAAAGTGATGTGGTGTTTTCAGGTTTTGGCGGTGAGAGCTCGGTACGAGAAAGAACTGCGAGGACTCCATGAAGACAAGAGCAGGTCTGAGGAGGAGATCCGGCAGCAGCTCAGGGACGAAAAGGTACAACAGAACTCGGTCCCTGTGATCTCACACACAATCAGTTATGGATGTATGTGACGGGACAGATCTGGAGATGACGGTGTTGTTCGACTGTTTGCATTCCCCTGAAACCTGAACTTAAAAACTAAAACTGAACATATATTTATGAATCCTATAATAATTAGGGATGCACCAATTCCACTACATTCAAAACCGATACAAGTACTTTCATCTGAGTACTGGGCGATACCGATACAAATACATTGTGTTATCTCTGGGGTTTCATAAAACTAATAAAACTGAGATTAAAAATGTTTTATCTCATTTCAACAATAAGAAAGTGCTTTAACAATTAAACATTTTATCGATTGTCTTAACTTATTCCACTCATACAAATGGGAGAAAGAAATGGCTCCGGTGCTAACTCTGGTGTTAGCAAAAGATAGTAATAATAGTAATAATAATAATGCATCGGTTTCATATAGTGCTTTATTAGGACACTCAAATTCATTCTCTCTCTCCAAACACGGTGGTGATAAACTACTACTGTAGCCACAGCTGCCCTGGGGCACACTGACAGAAGCGACGCAACCAGTCTGTGCCATCAGCCCCTCCCACCACCAACCATTCACACACACACCAGACTCATTCTAATGTGGGGGAAGTGTCTTGACTAAGGATCAGAGAGAGACCAGAGAGAGACCAGAGAGAGACCAGAGAGAGACCAGAGAGAGACCAGAGAGAGGCCAGAGAGAGGCCAGAGAGAGGCCAGAGAGAGGCCAGAGAGAGGCCAGAGAGAGGCCAGAGAGAGGCCAGAGAGAGGCCAGAGAGAGGCCAGAGAGAGGCCAGAGAGAGACCAGAGAGAGGCCAGAGAGAGGCCAGAGAGAGGCCAGAGAGAGGCCAGAGAGAGGCCCACAGACTGTAGACCCATAGACACTCACACACCAGACCTGCTGTTCCCAGACGTAAGTGTCTTGCCCAAGGACACAACACGACCCAACATTCAATAAGAACAAAGTATATAAATATATGCATTTGAAGGTCATTCATGTTTTTATTTGTCTCTTGCGTTTCAATGCAGATTTTAATTGAAAGACAAAAATATCGCAATAATATCGTTATCGCAATACTAAGCACTCAAATCGAATATTGCACTAATCTCCAATATTGTGCAGACCATTCTAAGACTATCAACCACAAACAAATCCAAAAGACACATGGACTGATGGTTTTGGACGATGGTTCAGGTGTTATAAAGTCACACACTGGTGCTTTTCTAATCATCAATCATCAATCGCTAACGCTGCTGTGGTCTGAAAGTCCTGTCGTTTGTCCTCGAGGCTAAAACCAAAGAACTGGAGGGACTGCTGGTGAAGGTGGAGGAGCTGCAGAACCAGGTCCAGTCCATGGAAGGGACTAAAGGCTGGTTTGAAAGAAGACTCAAGGAATCTGAGGTACAAAAAACACACAATAATCCAACCAATAATTCACATGTGTTTGGAATATTTAACAATGTAATTATCAAAAACAGATTTATATGAAGCTTAGATGAACGATGACACTGACGACTTTTGATGGCTGTGGTCTAAGAAGTTTCAGAAACATCAAACTCAGAAAATGGGGGAAAAAGTTTAGCGCAAAAAGACTTAAAAGCATGATTTTAGGCTCCTTTAATTTTTTGGAAACTGAATCAAAACTTTTGTTGTATTTGTGAAGTACAAGGATCCACCATTAACTGATTAACCTAATTCAAATCCATTCATTGATTTTAGCTTTAAAGCAGCAGTAAGTAAAAATGTGGCCAAAGGTGGTACTGCATCGTCTCCCACTCTCCTAGACTCTGCTTGCCAAATATGCAGACGAATCCAGCTGGGACCATAACAGCTGAATAGACATAGATTAGGGCCCTTTAATGATGACAGATTAGAGCCCTTTAATGATGACAGATTAGGGCCCTTTAATGATGACAGATTAGAGCCCTTTAATGATGACAGATTAGGGCCCTTTAATGATGACAGATTAGGGCCCTTTAATGATGACAGATTAGGGCCCTTTAATGATGACAGGTTAGAGCCCTTTAATGATGACAGATTAGGGCCCTTTAATGATGACAGATTAGGGCCCTTTAATGACGGATTATGGCCCTTCAATGATGACAGATTAGGGCCCTTAAATGATGACAGATTAGGGCCCTTTAATGATGACAGATTAGGGCCCTTTAATGATGACAGATTAGGGCCCTTTAATGATGACTTGACATGAAAATCTTACATATCACTACTTTAATCTTTTCCTTGTTTCTTCAGGAGAACTTGGAACAGAAGAGTCTGAAGCATCAGGAGCAGATTGACAAACTGCAGATGGATCACGCTGAGCAGATGCAGGTAACGCTACAAAGGCCCTTTACATTTAATCATTGGAATTATTATCATAGATCACATGTTGGATTGTAGCCTGGTCTTACCGCACCATGGTACTCATTTCATTTGTACTAAACTCTGGATTTGCTCCATTGACTCCGTTAACAGGTGGGAGGGGTTAACTCCTTTTGCAGATTGAAACCATTGGATCTGAGTTTACTGTGACGTATGTAATGAGCCTGAGTGAGTGAGGCATGTAGCCTAGCTTTAGCATTTAGCAGCTTTAGCATCTCCTTTGCCACTAACGGAGCCCGTGGGGAGTAGCGCCACAACATCTTTGCTTCAATGACATTTACTAAACATTCCTCTTGCTCCGGCTTCAGTTTCTTGATATTTGGATTGAACCAGAACAGATTATTTTACTATCGCATTCTCCGACAAACTACAACCAGCAAATTCAGCACAAACTCTTGACGTCACCGACACCGACCTACAACACCCGCCTCCCCCGCTCTCTGATTGGTCGGAGGAGATTCAACCGAGGAAACTGCAGCCACTAGGATCAGACCCAGACGTACATGTAGGAAATGATCATGGACCAGAGTTTACACATGGTAAGACCAGACGTACATGTAGGAAATGACCATGGACCAGAGTTTACACATGGTAAGACCAGACGTACATGTAGGAAATGACCATGGACCAGAGTTTACACATGGTAAGACCAGACGTACATGTAGGAAATGACCATGGACCAGAGTTTACACATGGTACGACCAGACGTACATGTAGGAAATGGCCGGTCTTGATGGGTTTTACAACTTCATAAAACAGTTGGATTGTCCGCAGACACTGGAGAGACCCTTGTTAAACTGGTGACCCGCCGTTAATGAGAGTCAGAGTTTAATTAACTTTTCATATTCACTTCCTCCTGAGATTATGTCCATTTAATAAATGCAGACGAAGCAGAAGACTCGAAGACCATCTTTATTTTGCACCAGTCACTTTGTTTTGATGGTTGATCGTCCATACATGTTGTAGAATGTTAATGTCCTTCTTCTTAGACACTAACTGTAACAGACTCCTGCATCAGAGGAAAATCTCTAAAGGGATCCGCTCTGCACGGACAGACGAGCTGTAGATCCAGGACTGAGGCTGTAGATCCAGGACTGAGGCTGTAGATCCAGGACTGAGACTGTAGATCCAGGACTGAGACTGTAGACCCAGGACTGAGGCTGTAGATCCAGGACTGAGACTGTAGATCCAGGACTGAGGCTGTAGATCCAGGACTAAGGCTGTAGATCCAGGACTGAGGCTGTAGATCCAGGACTGAGACTGTAGATCCAGGACTGAGACTGTAGACCCAGGACTGAGGCTGTAGATCCAGGACTGAGACTGTAGATCCAGGACTGAGGCTGTAGATCCAGGACTGAGGCTGTAGATCCAGGACTGAGACTGTAGATCCAGGACTGAGGCTGTAGATCCAGGACTGAGGCTGTAGATCCAGCACTGAGGCTGTAGATCCAGGACTGAGGCTGTAGATCCAGGACTGAGACTGTAGATCCAGGACTGAGACTGTAGATCCAGGACTGAGGCTGTAGATCCAGGACTGAGACTGTAGAACTAGGACTGAGGCTGTAGATCCAGGACTGAGGCTGTAGATCCAGGACTGAGACTGTAGAACTAGGACTGAGACTGTAGAACTAGGACTGAGGCTGTAGATCCAGGACTGAGACTGTAGATCCAGGACTGAGACTGTAGATCCAGGACTGAGACTGTAGATCCAGGACTGAGACTGTAGATCCAGGACTGAGACTGTAGACCCAGGACTGAGGCTGTAGATCCAGGACTGAGACTGTAGATCCAGGACTGAGACTGTAGATCCAGGACTGAGACTGTAGATCCAGGACTGAGACTGTAGATCCAGGACTCAGACTGTAGATCCAGGACTGAGACTGTAGATCCAGGACTGAGACTGTAGATCCAGGACTCAGACTGTAGAACTAGGACTGAGACTGTAGATCCAGGACTGAGGCTCTAGATCCAGGACTCAGACTGTAGATCCAGGACTGAGGCTGTAGACCCAGGACTGAGACTGTAGATCCAGGACTCAGACTGTAGAACTAGGACTGAGACTGTAGATCCAGGACTGAGGCTCTAGATCCAGGACTCAGACTGTAGATCCAGGACTGAGACTGTAGATCCAGGACTGAGACTGTAGATCCAGGACTCAGACTGTAGAACTAGGACTGAGACTGTAGATCCAGGACTGAGGCTCTAGATCCAGGACTCAGACTGTAGATCCAGGACTCAGACTGTAGAACTAGGACTGAGGCTGTAGATCCAGGACCTACTCTACAGAACGTGGACAGGTCTGGTGCAGGACTGAAGGGCAGGGCAGTCCACAGGTGTAGATGGAGGAGGCCGGGTGCAGGTCCCATCATCGCATCATGAAACAGACAATGGGACAACGGGTGAATAGCAACACACCAGACTCATTCTAATGTGGGGGAAGTGTCTTGCCTAAGGACACAACCACAGTTTGGCACTTTACAGCCACCCCACTGTGGCACCTGCTGTTTTCTCTAAGGTCTCCCATCACCGCACTAACCAGGCCCTGCCCTACTTAGCTTCAGAGGTCTGACAGGATCTGGCTTTTGTATTTTTTACAACATGAGATAGGTGTGGCTTATGTCATGGTCCCACAGTGGAGAAATTCCAGTGTTGCATCGCAAGTTACAGAGCAGTAGGAATGAGGAGCAGACGGCACAAGAGAAATGAAAAACAGCTCTCTACTAAATAAAAAATCTGACTCTAGAGAAAAAAACTCAAAGAAAAAAGTATAAATTCTCCTGTCTTTAGCATAATCAAGAAGTAAACAATCTCTAAATTTAGAATTTCCATATTTTTGTTCTTCTTTCACACTTTTATATACATATTATGATGTCCCTCCATTTTGTCGCCAGTTTAAACCAATACGTTGCGGTTGTGTGCGGCGCTTATCGGAGTCTGCGGGGAACACCACATTCTATAATTAATCAGCTCAAGGATTAACACGGGCCAGCGCTAATTTAATAATCATTTTAACATAAGAGAGATTAGAGACACACACAGGAGAAGCCAGTGCAGAGCCGCTCAGAGACTGCACCAGCAAAAGTCACCAATGGAGAATGTTTCCTGGTCCAGACCATGGATCTATGATAATACTGGGAGGGCTGTTACTGGCTTCCCGGGTACTGCAGACTAAAAAGACTGAAATCATTTTACATTCATTCCAGTTTCCCCATAGAATTCAGTGTAAACTAAAACAGCTTGACCGTAGCTGAGAGAGAACCTGGGAGAGAACCCGAGAGAGAACCCGAGAGAGAACCCGAGAGAGAACCCGAGAGAGAACCCGACCGAGAACCACTTTTGGGGCCGAGAGCCACTTTGGGACCGAGAGCGAGAGCCACTTTTGGGGCCGAGAGCCACTTTGGGACCAAGAGCAAGAGCCACTTTTGGGGCCGAGAGCCACTTTGGGACCAAGAGCAAGAGCCAGTTTTGGGGCCGAGAGCAAGAGCCACTTTGGGACCATCCTGTAAAGAGGTTTTCTAGACTGAAGAAGAAAGCATACAAATTACAAAAGCATCGGGTAATTCTCTTTCCGGGTACACCCCCACCGACCCAGAGTGAGATCTCACCATATCATGCTCATGGACATTTTGGAGCCGGGAACCCGCCCAGACTGGTTCTAATAGTCCCTTAAAAATCCTTCTGTCTTTCCATAATGTCAGTGGCTCTTACATATTTCTTTCCATTGCATTTCTACAGTTTTATTTATTTGAGCTAATACGTGTTTTGTTTTCCAGGGTAAACTTTCTGAGCTGGAGACGGTGCAGCAGCAGATGGTGGAGATGGACAAACAAAGGGAAGAACTGCAACAGACCATTGACAAACTGCGACAGGTGACCGTGAAACTACGTTATTGTGCATTCTTTATCAATAAAACCTTTATCAAAGTAAGGGTGCCGACAAGGATCAAAACACTAAACCTGTCTGTGTTCAGGAAGTCAAAGACACAGTGGACGGACAGAGGATTCTGGAGAAGAAGGGAAGTGCAGCGGTGAGTTATGGCTGAGTGGTTAGCAGTCCTGGGTTTTATATGGGGTGTTTTGAGTTTCCATGTTCTTCCGGGGTAGGTTTCCTCCAGGTGCTCCGGTTTCTCTTACCAACCAAAAACATGTAGATAAATCCTTGCCAGTGGGAAAATATCTGAAAAATAAATTATGAAATCTCAGTGAGACTAAATACATTTATATGATGCAAAGTTAAAGTGGACTGTTGTTTATACTTTTGTTAAATCACAAACTGCTCGATTAATGCTTTGGGAACTATTTATTATTATACCCTGTACTGGGAAGGCACCATGGTGGAGGAGGAAGTGTACCATTCAAAAAGTGTGTGTGTGTGTCTGTCTGTCTTTGTGTGTGTGTGTCTGTCTTTGTGTGTGTCTGTGTGTGTGTGTGTGTGTGTGTGTCTGTCTTTGTGTGTGTGTGTGTGTCTGTCTGTGCGTGTGTGTGTGTGTATCTTTGTGTGTGTGTCTTTGTGTGTGTGTGTGTGTCTGTCTTTGTGTGTGTCTGTGTGTCTGTGTGTGTGTGTGTGTGTGTGTCTGTATTTGTGTGTGTGCGTGTGTGTATCTTTGTGTGTGTGTCTTTGTGTGTGTGTGTGTGTCTGTCTTTGTGTGTGTCTGTGTGTCTGTGTGTGTGTGTGTGTCTGTCTTTGTGTGTGTGTGTGTGTGTGTCTGTGTGTGTGTCTCTGTGTGCGTGTGTGTCTCTGTGTGTCTGTGTGTGTGTGTATGTCTGTGTGTGTGTGTCTCTGTGTGTGTGTGTGTATGTCTGTGTGTGTCTCTGTGTCTGTGTGTGTGTGTCTGTGTGTGTCTCTGTGTGTGTGTGTGTGTCTGTGTGTGTCTCTGTATGTTTGTGTGTGTGTGTGTAAACATATTATTTCATATATACATCTTTCTTTCATATTTTTTCTCTCTTGTACTGTATTTGTTAATTATTATTATGATGTAATCTTGTCCTTTGTATTGTAAGTGTTGCCTTGTAATGGTTTTCAATTCTGACCATTTGGATTCTGAAGACCAAAACTCATAAATATAAAGTTTTAAGTATAGATAAATAACCTCTGTATCAATCGTTCACAGATGTTTATAAAAGTCAGACTTAACTAAATTAAAGGTGATTGTTGTGGTTTTGTAGTTAAAGGACCTGAAGCGACAACTGCAGCTGGAGAGGAAGAGAGCGGACAAACTGCAGGAGAGACTTCAGGACGTCCTCACCAAGACCAGGACGGCCGGTGACTACTGCACAGATACTGTATAGATACTACAGATATATGGATACTACAGATATATATGGATACTACAGATACAGTTTGGGCAAAAAAGTATTTAGTCAGCCACCTATTGTGCAAGTTCTCCCACTTATATAGATACATTCCTCCAGTGGATTTTCTCATGATCCACTTGGTTTGGTCCATGAATCCTCTCTGCTCTGGTCTGGACCAGTGTAAAACCATGAATCCTCTCTGCTCTGGTCTGGACCAGTGTAAAACCATGAATCCTCTCGGCTCTGGTCTGGACCAGTGTAAAACCATGAATCCTCTCTGCTCTGGTCTGGACCAGTGTAAAACCATGAATCCTCCCTGCTCTGGTCTGGACCAGTGTAAAACCATGAATCCTCCCTGCTCTGGTCTGGACCAGTGTAAAACCATGAATCCTCCCTGCTCTGGTCTGGACCAGTGTAAAACCATGAATCCTCTCTGCTCTGGTCTGGACCAGTGTAAAACCATGAATCCTCTCTGCTCTGGTCTGGACCAGTGTAAAACCATGAATCCTCCCTGCTCTGGTCTGGACCAGTGTAAAACCATGAATCCTCTCTGCTCTGGTCTGGACCAGTGTAAAACCATCAGCAGCAGTTTCTGGATGATGTTTGTATCCTTGTCCAGGTCTGGAGGAGCTGAACCTGGCCGAGATCCACAGTCCGAGCAGAACTCAACAAACCGGAGACTCTTCTTCTGTGTCGTCCTTCTCCTTCAAAGACATGATGAAGGAGCCGCCGGCCAATCAGAGCAAGGTATGAGCGTCCGTGAAACCTCTGCACAAGATGGTTCATCACTGATTTATACAGAGTGACTTTGATTCAGTTTGTTCTTATCAAAGGTACAAAAGTCTGACAAAAGGGCAAAATTTAGACTTTAATAATCAGAAGATGTATTATGTTGCTGATAGGGGAGGGCGATATGGACAAAATAAATATATAGATATTTTTTCATTTCCCGATAATTGTCACAATATCTTTTAAAATCAATCATTTTTACACACAAAGATCTGCAGGCACACATTAGACCAAACGGGCATCTGTCCTTCTCTAACTGTAATGTGTTTGTAAAACGAAAAAGGACGATAATAACGGCTTATTAACCGAGCGCGAGGTCTGTGCAGAGAAATATCAGACTGTTATTTCTCTGCACAGACCGAGCCGTGACGAGGTTAATACATGTTTTATTATCTGTCTCTCGTCTGTGTCTTTACCAACGCTTTTGAGATATCTGTGAAGTATGTTCATGTCCGACTTGGTTTTGTGTGATACTGGCTGTGGACAGATTGTCATGGTAACGGTCCGAGATGGGAAAATTTCAGACCGGTAATCAGCCAATCAGAGCGTGCGTACGGTCCAAGTCATATAATAATACGAAAAAGCAGATCTTCAAATTGACTTTCATGATATTATTGTCTACGATATATTTTACCCACCCCTAATTATTGTGTCAGATCCCTCTGTGTCCAGTAGAAGACTCTAGAACTAAAGTGTCTCTGATCCTTTGAATGAACTTTGTTACATATTTTCAGATCCACTTTTGATTCATTCTTTTTTTACACAGAGAAAAAACAAACTCATATTTTCATTTTCAACCAATTCAATGTGAAACCAGAACATTATTTTTTGAAGTTTAAATTTCAGACTCGGGCAGAAACCTTCACGTCCATTACACATTTTTCAGGTCATTTCATAATAATAATTATAATTATGCATAGGTTTTATACAGCGCTTTTTTGGACTCTCAAAGACGCTTCACATGTCATTTCTCTCTCTCCAAACACGGTGGTGATAAACTTCTACTGTAGCCACAGCTGCCCTGGGGCACACTGACAGAAGAGAGGCAACCAGTCTGTGCCATCGGCCCCTCCCACCACCACCAACCATTCACACACACACCAGACTCATTCTAATGTGGGGGAAGTGTCTTGCCTAAGGACACAACCACAGTTTGGCACTTTACAGCCGCCCCACTGTGGCACCTGCTGTTCCCAGAGGTTAAGTGTCTTGCCCAAGGACACAACGACAGCAGACAGTGGGAGTCGATGGTAAAAGTCGGGCTTGAACCCACGACCCTCTGCCTCAAAGGCCAATGCTCTACAACTGAGCCACTGTCGCCCCATTTAAATTTGTCCTGATTTTTTTCCTTTTTTTAATGATTCCGTTTGAATTTTACTTTTAAAGTCCAGATACTTTCATTGACAGAAATGGACTTTTCTTATTTGTTGAAGAGTAAATGAGATGTTCTAATGTGTTGGGCCCAATCTGTTTTTAATTCATAACCTTTTTAATATTTTAATGTCCGTGCCTTGAAACTGCAAACGACTAAAACAAGAACATCATGATTATATGAGAGAATATGACATGTTTTTAACGATGTATTTTCACCTTTCCAGCGTTTACGGATGAATTCTAGTACTTTGTTACTTTGGCTTCAGTCAGGCCAGGTCTCTGTATAGAAAGTGTCCTGCAGTCCTGACCTCATGTTGCAGTTCCACTTCTTCACTGTAATATTAATCACATTTAACAACCTTTTGAATCTAAATTATGCTTATTGAAAAACTAAAATGTCAAGTTTGTGTTTTTGACGACTGAAAATAAAAACAATTTTCTGTAAATTCTAGACCATAAACCAGGCATGTCCAAACCAAGGCCTGGGGGCCGAATGTGGTCCTCTGTGTCATGTTATAGGGCCCTCACCCTCTATCCCACAGTTCAGAGTAATCCAATGTTGTCGCTGGATCTGAACTTCTGAAGTTCATTTTTCTGGAATCCGTTGATTTTCTTTCACAAAACTAACATTTATTTTTTAATGAAGAGACTTTAAGCGTCCATAAAAACACTTTATAAAACTGATGTTATTATAATATTTTTATTATTATTATAAAATCACAGACTGTGGTCAAGAGATTGGTAATATCTCTGTTCTCTCTCTCTCTGGTCTCTCTCTGGTCTCCCTCTCACTGGTCTCTCGCTGGTCTCTCTCTCTCTGGTCTCTCTCTCTCTGGTCTCTCTCGCTGGTCTCTCTCTGGTCTCTCTCTGGTCTCTCTCTCGCTGGTCTCTCTCTGGTCTCTCTCTCTGGTCTCTCTCTCGCTGGTCTCTCACTGGTCTCTCTCTGGTCTCTCTCTCGCTGGTCTCTCTCGCTGGTCTCTCTCTGGTCTCTCTCTGGTCTCTCTCTCTGGTCTCTCTCTGGTCTCTCTCTGGTCTCTCTCTCTGGTCTCTCTCTCTGGTCTCTCTCTGGTCTCTCTCTGGTCTCTCTCTGGTCTCTCTCTGGTCTCTCTCTCTGGTCTCTCTCTGGTCTCTCTCTCTGGTCTCTCTCTGGTCTCTCTCTCTGGTCTCTCTCTCTGGTCTCTCTCTCTGGTCTCTCTCTGGTCTCTCTCTCTGGTCTCTCTCTCTGGTCTCTCTCTGGTCTCTCTCTCTGGTCTCTCTCTGGTCTCTCTCTCTGGTCTCTCTCTCTGGTCTCTCTCTGGTCTCTCTCTCTGGTCTCTCTCTCTGGTCTCTCTCTGGTCTCTCTCTCTGGTCTCTCTCTCTGGTCTCTCTCTCTGGTCTCTCTCTGGTCTCTCACTCTGGTCTCTCTCTCTGGTCTCTCTCTCTGGTCTCTCTCTCTGGTCTCTCTCTGGTCTCTCTCTCTGGTCTCTCTGGTCTCTCTCTGGTCTCTCTCTGGTCTCTCTTTCTGGTCTCTCTCTCTGGTCTCTCTCTCTCTGGTCTCTCTCTCTGGTCTCTCTCTGGTCTCTCTCTGGTCTCGCTCTCTGGTCTCTCTCTGATGATAGTTGGACTCACGTGGAGCTAAACAGTTTAAAAACATATTTTTGACAAACAGCTCAGATCTATTCACAGAAACTCTATCAATAGCACCACAAAAAAGATGAGAGTAAATTTAGACGCTGTTCTAAATATAAACCTCACCGTCCAGAAGGAGCGAGCTAAAGCCAACACTATGAATTCTGACTCCAACCCAAACTGGACTGAACTGAACTGGACCAGTCGATTTTACCTCGAGAGAGAAAAGAATAAATGTATGAGCCAAAAATATATTCACCTCATTCTTTCATATGAAGTTTATAAATATAGAATAATCTCTGATGGGCTCAAAACCACTTCAATAGAAATGCTGTTATCTGTCGTCATTAAAGGGCCCTAATCTGTCGTCATTAAAGGGCCCTAATCTGTCGTCATTAAAGGGCCCTAATCTGTCGTCATTAAAGAGCCCTACCTCATTGTGTCCCATTGACGCACAAATACGGCAAAGCAAATAGTAACGTCGTGTGCCATTGACGCATTAATACGTCAAATGCCTTTTTAGCTATTTTCACGTTCCCAGATGTCTATTGTATCTAATATGTATGGGGATGACTTGAGACCATATTTTATCGAGCCAGCAGGTGGCAGCATTTCTCTCTGAATGGTTTGAAAACATGTAGGTGCACATGTTGTGCCTCTTTTTTCTCAACTTTCTGGTGATTTCAGTAAAACTTCCCTCTACTCAACGGAGGATTACAGGGGAACGAAAAAAGCTATAAACAAAATTATTTTTGCTGATGAAAGTAAACAGTCCATTCTTTTAGAATCTGGTGTCGGATTTCAGATAGTCATAGTACACAATATTCTGTGGGTCTTGAAAAATCAGTAAAAATCATCATAAATGGCTGGCACTGTGGGAGTACCTGTTCTGAAATAGGCTGGCATTCAATGAGTTAAAGGGCCCTAATCTGTCATCATTAAAGGGCCATAATCTGTCACCATTTAAAGGGCCCTAATCTGTCATAATAATAATCTGCTCTTTTCCAATACTTCTTTAACTGATAACAGTAGTTCAGAGATATTTGAATTTCTAAATTACTTTTCCAGCCTCTAAATCTTGTTATTGTTTTCATTTCGATGTCCCGCCCTCCACCGTTTCACCAATTAGAAAGTCTGTGATCCGGGCTCCAGAACTCACTGTTTTGAGCTAATCTCACTGGTAAAGTACCATGTGGCACAGAACTAAAAAAGGTCTCGTTATGATTCTCAAATCATTAACGACAAAACAAGGAATAAAACCATAATTTCTATCTTTGTGAAAAAGGTGTTGGTTATAGATTTGTTGTTGACAAAACTCTTGTCTATTCAGCTGTTATGGTCCCAGCTGGATTCGTCTGCATATCTGGCAACCTGAGTCAGGGAGAGTGGGAGAGGCTGCAGTACCACTTTTGGCCACATTTTTACAAACTGCTCCTTTAAATGATCAAAACTGCAGTATTTATTTAGGTTTTTTTGTAGTTTTTGCAGAATTTGTGATTGTTTGTTTCAGTCTGGAGGGGGCAGTCCTTCGTCGCAGCGTCCGGGCGATCTCTCTGATGACGAGGTGGGGGAGTTGTTCCAGCGGCTGGCCGAGGTGCAGCAGGAGAAGTGGATGCTCGAGGAGAAGGTTCTTACACTTTTAACCACTTTAGAAGAAAGAAAAATAAGATCAGATATTTCTTTAATGGTCCCACCGTGAGGGAATGTCAGACTCAGACACATCGGAGTCAAAATAATGAAATAGAACACATGGGAATGCACCGATTGTGGCGTTTTGAGCTGATACCGATGTTTAACGAAGATACTTGGCCTATTTATGTTCTTTTTGATATTTTTATTTATATATTTCTTCAGCTTCATACAGTCGCTCTTAGAATGTCTCTGGTCTCTCTTTGGTCTACCTCTGGTCTTACTCTGGTCTCTCTCTCTGGTCTCTCTCTAGTCTCTCTCTCTGGTCTCTCTCTGGTCTCTCTCTCTCTCTCCTCTCTCTCTCTGGTCTCACTCTCTTCTCTCTCGCTCTCTCTCGCTCTCTTTCTCTGCTCTCTCTCTCTCCCTCTGGTCTCTCTCTCTCCCTCTGGTCTCTCTCTCTCTCTCTGGTCTGTCTCTGTCTCTCTCTCTCTGGTCTCTCTCTCTCCGGTCTGTCTCTGTCTCTCTGGTCTCTCTCTCTCTCTCTCTGGTCTGTCTCTGTCTCTCTCTCTCTGGTCTCTCTCTAGTCTCTCTGGTCTCTCTCTCTGGTCTCTCTCTAGTCTCTCTCTCTGGTCTCTCTCTGGTCTCTCTCTCTCTCTAGTCTCTCTCTCTGGTCTTCCACTGGTCTCTCTCTGGTGTCTCTTTGGTCTCTGTCTGGTCTTTCTCTAGTCTCTTTGGTCTCTCTCTCTGGTCTCTCTCTCTGGTCTCTCTCTCTGGTCTCTGTCTGGTCTCTGTCTGGTCTCTGTCTGGTCTCTCTCTCTAGTCTCTCCCTCTGGTCTATCTCTTTGGTGTCTCTCTTTGGTCTCTCTTTGGTCTCTCTCTGGTCTCTCTCTGGTCTCTGTCTGGTCTCTGTCTGGTCTCTGTCTGGTCTCTGTCTGGTCTCTGTCTGGTCTCTCTCTGGTCTCTCAGTCTCTCTGGTCTCTCTCTCTAGTATTTATATTTATATATTTCTCGGCAGCTTCAGCTTCCTGCAGTCTCTGTCTCCGCCTCTTTCTCAATCG